ATCCCCTTGTCTTTAAACAGAGTCAGGATTTTGGCAAGAGACTCACCAGTGACTGGGCTAAGTTAATCTATAAGTGGAATCCTATGGAGGTTTAGACAGAAAAAGTACTACAGCTCTTAAGGTATGCCCCGGCCAGCATAGCTGGAAGTTGTTGAATTTTTTTCTGTCTAAACATGGTAGGATCATGTCCTTAAGTCTGTGTTGATTTCGGTGGTCCATCTGTGGTTATCTGAAAATCATGGCAGCCAAGGCTAATATGTAGAAAATAATGGAACTCACTTTCTATCTATTATATAAGGAATGACCTTGTTAGAAGAGCTGTGTTGTATTAGACTAATAATTAAGTTTAGACATTTTGTTCACACAGTGGCCAACTAGTGGTCCCTGGAAACTTACAAGCAGGACACAAGTGCAACAGCACCGTTATGCCTATGTTCTCCAGCAACTGATATACAATACTAGAGGCAACATAAAGCTGTCAGACTTGTAGCCATTGATATCTCCCCACTCCAGGAATGTGTCCAATCCCCTTTTAAAACCATCCAAAATGGCGGCAATCACCCTTATCTGTCCTGAATCTCCCACCAAGGGATGACCCCAAATCCTAATAATATGAAAGGGAAAAGGTCTCCCTGCTCACTTCTTCCATGTCATGCACAGCTTTGTACACCTCTATCATGTCTCCTCTAGCTTAGAAGAGAGATGAGTAAGAGGAGAGCCTTAATCACAGATGTTGTGACCTTTCCTGAGAGTTGTTCCAGGCTCTTGATCAGTTGCCCTTGTTTGCACATCTTCCAATTCTACAATATCCTTTCTCAGGTGTGGTGACCGGAACCACACCTGGTATTCCAGATGTGATAGCCTTACATATTCACATAAAAGCAGGGACTATCTTTTCATTGAGCTGCCTACCACAACTCTTTCTTGGTCAGTTACTGCTAGTTCACATCTCTTCAGCATATATATGAGCCCATGTGTTTCGTGGTTAGAGTGCTGGACTGGGACTCAGGAGATCTGAGTTCTTGTCCCTACTCAGCCATGAAGTTAATTGAGTGACTTGGGTCAGTCACAGACTCGCAGTCCAGCCTACCTCATAGGGTTGTTGTGCAGATAAAATGGAGTGGATGAAGAGGAGGCTCTTTGTAAGCTGCCTTGGGCTCTTTGCAAGGAGAAAGGCAGGATCTAAGCGCAATAAATAAATAAATCAGGATTTTTAGCTGCAACATTTTACACTGACTTCTGCTGACCCACATTTGCCATTTTGATGTCCATCCTCCCAGTATGGTTAGATGGCTGAAGTTAATTGGTTGAGTGTGAGATTAGTGGAGAAAATTTGCTTCAAAAACAATACCTGAACATGTGACCACTTCCCCAAGTCTTTGTAGCTGTGCAATGCATACCTTCTCAGAATAAGTCCCAGTGGAGTTTACTCCCAAGTATGTATGTATAGAGCTGCAGCCTAAGTTGTATTTTTGAACAACTGAGGACCTATAGCAGCCATTTCTAACCTGATTCTTGCCAGAAGTTTTGGCCTAAAGTTTCCAGCATCCTGATTATTGGCTATGTTTTTTGGGCCTGATGGGAATTGGGAGTCCAAAACATTTGCAGGGATTCAAGGTAGGAGAGGCTGGTTTATGACATCATTTCTCATAAACCATCTTAATGCCCTGACTATTGACATAACAGTCTCACGTTACGAGTTTCAGGTACCCACCACATACTTCTACAGTAAGTTAACTAGTTGTTTATATCAGTATTTGGGTAGCCAAAAGGTATTGTTAGAAAGTCAGCTCTAGTCTTGCCTATAGTGTTATGAAAGCCCCATCACATTATTTATTTTAGTGGTATCTCTTAAGCGTCTTACCTTCAAAAGCAGAAGCTTTTGTAGGTAAGAAAAGATGACAGGAAAAACCTCTAGGGGAAAGGGAGATTATTATTATTATTTTAATTGCCAGCATTTTAACCCACGGACTATTCTTCAAGGTTTGAGCTAGCCAGGACAATTCTAAAATGAATTTTTTGTTGTTTCTCAATTTGAGAGGTTTTTTTTTTTTTTTTTACATATTGCTTTAAACTAGTTGAAGCAATTACAGGAATCTCAAAGAGCAAGCTGAGAGTATCTGACAAAGGGAAGGAAGCCATTTTTGCCAGCTCTAATTAAGACATATGAAGAAAGGGTGTATGTTTACAGCTGGCTGTATCTCCTGGGTCCTTTCCTCCAGCTGGTGTCCAGTGAGCTGGGTTTTTCTAACATAGTGCCTTGGAAAACAAGAAGCAGCATATTAATACTGAACTATTTCAATATTTTGCATAAATGTAGTATATACACACTATAAATACAGCTAGATTAATATATCCAGCAGCCTTATTACTTGCACTTTTATTATCAATGCATTGTATTCTCTGAGGACCTGACCCCTTAGCAGGTGCCCATGACAGTTTAAACAGGAAGCAGAAGTGACTGTTTATAACACCACAGTAACAGCCGCACCAGCTCTTCTCTTTGCCTATTGCTATCTGTAAAACATGCAGTTGGCCAACAAATTGGCAGCAGAATGCCCAAAACAACAATTGCATGACAATTTGAGGAAATGTTACAGGCTTAGTTTTCATGCACCATCTATGGGAGGATAGAAAGATATCAGGTTTGGTCTTGCACAGCAGCAAGTATTTCAAAACCACGTAACCTTACCTAGCATTGTTAAAGAATACATACTGTATGGTTGCTTACCAAACATACCAGCAGTCATCATTTAAAGAAAGCAACATTTTGTTTGCGTGTGTACTGCATATTACTCCCCACCGTGAACTGAAGGATTGGCTGCAGAACAAAATAGTGCCAGCATGTGAATTAACTCTTAAAATGTAATTGTTTGGTGGGATGGGTAGAAGAACCTTGTGCCTGGTGAATGTGTTGAGCTAGGTCAGAAGGTCAACTCCATAGCATATGATAGTGCTTCAGAGCACTTTAAAGGCAGCCTTTTCATCTGACGGAGTCTCGACAGCTAATCTCCATACAGCCCGTGTCAGAATGCAAGAACTGCTGGCGAGCAAGAGCCCAGTTGAGCATGTGGTGCTACACATCTAGAGAACATCAGGCTGGAGACAGTTGATGTAGACTCTCAACTATGCCTATATTACTATTATGATAAAATTCCTCCCTCAGGCGATCTCTCTCTTCTGCCCTCTCTGAGCATCATCTGGCAGAATGGTCACAGAGTGGGCATGAGCTTATTTCAGATAAGGGATCAGCAATCCAGTAGATTCCTCCTTTAATCTTGCTTTTCTTTCCTTTATAATCAAGACAGAAATCCAGCAGGTGCACTTTCCAGAGTGCTCTTCTCTCATGTTTCAGATACATAGTTGGAAGTACCCTGGTCTTGTTCCAGCTCCCTGCAATTTATGCAGAAGGCTATAGTTTAAATGAAATAAACCCATGCACTAGTAGGTATGCATCCCAAAGGAACAAATCCCTTTCCTTTAATAAAAGAATTAAAAGCTGTAGCCATGGTTGATCGTTTTATTTATTTGTTCATTTGTTTAATTTGTTTAAAGGGTGCCCATTAGCATCATGCTTTATGGGCAGCCATGACAACAAAATTACCAATAGGCAACATGAATAAAATAATACAATGTATAATTAATTAATTAATTAAAATTCTTATATATAGTCTATTATAAAATCTCAAGATGGTTTACATAAAAAGAAATACACAAGATAAAGACACAAATAATCAACAACAATAAAACTTCAGTTAGCAAATTAAAACCAGTGCAAATTGATGTAAAAAAATCTAAGTGGTGCCCTAAGTGCATCGGAAAAGGAATGTTTTTGTCCAGTGCCAAAAACTCAGCAGAGTAGGAAATGAATCTCCGATGGTAAGACATTATTAATTACCCTCCATTAATAATATTACTGTAGTTGTAATGGGAAATAAGGAATGAGCTTTTTAAAAAGTACACAATGAACTTTAATGCTGGAGGCAGGTCATAGGGCATGGTCAGAAGACACTTACAGGAAAAGCCTCACATTGAACTAAGTAGGGCTGAAGCTGGTCAGTCAGTCCCTGGATGAGAGGCCATCTGGGAAACCCTCTGCACACTGCCATGGGTACCAGATGCCTGTCAGATGTGTTGGATCACATCTCCTGTCATCCCTCTACCAGCAAGGACTGGCTGAGGTGATGGGTGTTGTAGTCCAGTATGCCGGGGGAGGGCGCCAGGTTGAGGAAGCTTAAATTGTACAAACGAAAAGAGAAATACATATCATCCTGTCTCAACCCATCTGGAATGGTTGCTCATACAGTCAAAGGGGCTTATACAAGCCTTCCATTGCTACTTAATATATACCGCCCAAGCTGAGGCCCTGTCACAAGATCACCGATACTCCAAAGAACTCAGAGGAGCTAACCCGCTCAAGCTGCACTTGCGCTCTTCTGCAAACAGGAAAAGGCAAGGTGAGAAGTTTGGGCTTGGAGCCTGATTTTTAATAGTTATTGAATATCAAAATTTATATGTAAATATATTAATATATATGTATTACATGGATATTATATATTTATAAATGCATTAAATATTTATTAAAGAAAGGGGTCGGACAGCGCAACCTCTCGCTTCCCAGACTCAGAGCCATCCAGCGGAAGGTCGCGGACGTGTGTGCGGATGGTGCCTCGCCCGGCCGATCCGGTTTCTCGCCGCACGTCTCGCATGGAACCGCCGCTGTCCTCAAGCCGCCCAGCTGGGCGGAGACCCGACCCAGTCGCTCCGAGGCTGCAAGCAAACACATGAGACCCCGCGAAGGCCCTGCCAATCCTGCCTAGCGCCACCCGGGGAAGCCCGTCCCAGCACCACGAATGCTGACCGGGGAGAGGGCGGTAGCCCCGCCCCTGGGCGGAGCCAAGTGCCAGAGTGTCCCGTCTCGGGAGTTAGCCTCTCCGTCCTGCCCCACCCCGGGGCGGGGCTAAAGCGCAGCCTTGGGCGGAAAGCGCAGAGAGCTCAGGTGTGTTAGCTGGGACGCAAGAGGGTGAGGGCGCTTTCCCTGGCTGCTGCGCGCCCAGCCTGAGCCATGCTGCCCGCTGCTGTCCGGAGGTGGCTGCACAGACCCAAGGTGAGGCTGGATGCTCCTGCCGGCTTCAGGAGGGACTGCCCGCTTGCCTCTTGGCTCCTGCAGCTCCCCTCTGGGCCTGGCCTGGCGGGGTCGGCGGAATTCTTGTTCTGCTCTCGGCTTGTCTGCTTTAGGAAGTTTCTCCGGTCGGCAGTCTTCACCGAGGGTAAAGGTTGAGTCGCGGCTTCATCGTCTATGATCCGTCCTGTTTTCCGTCACGGCTCCGAAACCAAGACGCGGAAAAAGTACCAGCTTTAGCTTCGTCGGAGCGGTTTCTTGTTTTGAACCTTTACCCTGTCAGGGAGAGGGAGGAGGAGCAGGGCTGCGCAAGTATGAATCTCGCGAAGATGACAAGATCAGGGTTGCTTCACAGCTGAACTACTCAGTTCTTGAATCACCGTTTTCCTTATGTCCGTAAGCGGGGTAGTTAAAGAGTGGTAAAAGGGATTTTCCACCCCACCCTACTTTTTCAATGCCTGCTTTTGAATGAATTGGAAATTTCTGTTGGTGTTCGTAACTTGCGAACCTGGAAATGAGGTGTAATAGCTGTTTGGGAGTATCACAGCTTTTACAGAGGCGTGGCTTTGTGTACTTGACTGTGCAATTATTTCTTCAGCCTTCCATCACTTTGTCCTCTCCCCCTCGTACATTTCTGTGCTGTGTTGGTAAACTTACTTCCATTAAGTCCTAAGCCGATATGGTGTTGTAGATACACTCAAGGCAGCCAGTGTGTGTGTGTGCTCCCTCCAGCGGCTGTTATCTCAGATTGTCAGGGTCTCTGTTTTGGTTACATATGCCAACTAAGCAATACTGGCACAAGCTTTTTCTTAGATCCAGGGCAAGTAGATTGTGAGGCCTATCAACTTATTCTCGTAGCTATGTGGCAAGACTTTCCCCCACCCCACACAGCTTACTTCTAGCTCCCTTCCTGAGTTTTGATTCAGGATCATGACTAAACAAAGTTGCATATGTATCTTGTGTTCCTAATGCAGCTAAAGAAAAGGCAGTGATCCACAGTTTCAGGAATACATTCTCAGTATCCTGCCATTTCTCCAGAATGCTCAAGGCAACCAATGACAACATAAGGGAAATCCAGTCACAAAAGCAAAACTGGTCCAGTAAACAATCACTCCGGCAAATAAACAGCAAGTTTGGGAGCCACCCAAACTATAATTAGGTTGGAATGCAAATGTTTTAATATAATGTCTGCATTCTGTGAAGGAAGAAGCCCGGTGTACTCAACTGTATAGCAGAAAGGGCCCAGGCTTGATACCAGTTGTTGTTTAGGAGGAAGAGATCTGGGACCACTGGGGGGAGCTGAGCATTTAACATTCATGTGTAAGTCAGTTTTGTACCATGGCTACTTTGGAAGGTTGAAATGGTAGGTGTGAGTCAATATTACTGGTGTTGTGGGGATCTGTGTTGTCTGTTGGCTGGCAGATGATTGACTTCCTGCTGACTTGTTTATGACTCACCTTGCATTCAGTCAAGTATACTGAAAGTGTAATTCAGGGAGAACAGTATTTAGTAAACACTTGGGATTACTAGCTGTAGTCTAGGCATGGATGGTCAGAAATCAGTGTTCTGGGACCTACTTTGTTCTTGATTTTTCCTAGCATCCTGTACCCTCCCACATGTTTATTTTTGCAGCAACTGTGTACAACTAAAAAGCTTCCACCCAACCACCCCACAAATCACTAAGAAATCTATATGAGTAGACCCTAGTCTATGTTCTGCCCTACCCTTGTCTAAGGAAAGCACCTATTTCAATATTGCGTGCTGGAACAAAAGCTCATCTGAAATTGGCACTTCCATCAGTTTTGCTGGGTTAGAATCATAGAATAGTAGAGTTGGAAGGGTCATTGGGTCCAGCCCCCTGCATTGTTTTCAAGGTGTTTGCAGAATGACGGGTTTCTAATCTGCTCCAGAATTTTCCCAGAGATTGATGTCAGGCTGACTCATCTATAGTTCCCAGGTTCTTCTACTTTTTCTTTGTTGAAATTAAGGGCAACATTAGCCCTTCCCCAGTCAGGACTTCTGTCCTCAATGATTTCTCAAAGTTAATAGAGGGTGCTTCTAAGATTTCTTCTGCCAGCTCCTTTATGGCTCTGGGATGAAATTCACTGGACCCTGGAGATTTAAACTTATTCAACCCAGTTAGATGATCCTTGACCATTTGCCTCTCAGTCTTGAGCTGCCATCCTGCTCTTTCAGCTTGTACTTCCCCTTCATCAGGAAAGTCTTAGATACTTTTTTGAGAGAAGACTGAGCCAAAGTAGAAATAGAACACTGCTGCCTTTTCTTTGTCATCTGTTATCATTTTGCCATCCACATTGAGTAGTTGAACCCCCATTTCTTCCCTTCGTCTTTTACTTTGGACATACATGAAGAAGACTTTTTTGTTGTATTTGTTGCCTCACTAGCCTCAAACTTTAGCCTTCCTGACACCATTCCTGCAATTCTGTGCTGTATACATTCCTGCCTGTATTTTTCCTTTGTAGTCTGGCCTTCCTTCCACTTTCTATACATGTCCCTTTTTGTTGTTAGAGCATCTCTAAGCTTTTCGTGAAGCCACATGGGCTGCTTCTGTTTTCTTCTACCCCTTTTTCTTGTTCGAATTGTTCGTAATTGTCTCTTTATAATTTCCTTTTTTAAAAAATTTCCACCCATCTTGGACTTGTTTTCTCATTAGAATCATAGAATAGCTGGAAGGGGCCAAAAGGCCATTGGGTCCAACCCCTTTGCCTAGTGCAGGCCATTGAGTTAAACCAGATGGCTCTCAGATGTCTGTCCAGTTGCACCTTGAATGCCTCTAGTGTGGGAGAGCCCACAACCTCCCTAGGTAATTGATTCCATTGTCATACTGCTTTAACAGTCAATAAATTTTTCCTGAGTGGCACATATACTAAAATTGGAACAATACAGGGATGATTAGCAAAAAAATTTCCTGCTCTCTATCTGTCTTTCTGTTACTTGAGTCCATTTGTCTATATTCTGCACTCTGGGATGATTGAGAAGAGATCCTGTCCTTTCTCTTTCTGATAACCTTTCAAGTACTTGTAGAGTGCTATCATATCTACTGCCAGTCTTGTATTCTTGAGGCTAAGCATGCCCAATTGCCTCAATCTCTCCTCATAGGGCTTTGTTTCCAGTCCCTGCTTCATCCTTGTTGCCCTCCTCTGAACCCTTTCCAGCTTGTCTGCATCTTAAACTGCAGTACCCAGAACTGGACAACAGTACTCCAGCTGAAGCCTAATCAGTGCTTAGTAAAGGGAATAGACTTGTCCTCCATGAATTTGTCCAATCCCTTTTTAAAGCCATCCAAATTGGTGGCCATCACCACTTCCCTTGGCAGTGGATTCCAAAGTTTATCTCCATGCTGTGTGAACAAGTTCTGAGTTGGGAAAGATAATGCTTAGACTTCCAGGACAAAGAAGCAGTCAGAACTATGCCTGTGTAGTACAAGCTAATAGTTCCCTCCCGTGTATCCAATAAAGCAGTTGCTTTTAAGTTGTTGCTGTTGTTGGGACTGAGGCCAGGCTGAGCTCTAGACATTTTCTTGCTTGAGGCAGAATAGCAAATGGTGCCACCCACCACCTTTCAGTCAAAGTGCACAGCAACAAGGCTGACCAAATGATGTTGGTATTTGAGCTGGACATTCCAGGAAGTACCTTTTTCTCCCACACCCCAGAATTAAAAAAAATCAACAGTAATAAATTAACCAGGAAGTTTCTATCTAAAACCTTAGAATCATAGAATAGTAGAGTTGGAAGGGGTCAAGAAGGCCATTGGGGCCGACTCCCTGCTGTTGCAGGTCACCAATTTACACCATCCCACTCAGATGACTGTCCAGTTTTGTCTTGAATGTCACCCGTGTGGGAGAGCCCACGACCTCTTTAGGCAAATGGTTCCACTGTTCTATTGCTCTGACACAGAGGAAACTGTTCCTGATATCTAGCCTGAAACTGGGTTGTTGGAACTTGACTTGATTATGCCATGTCCCACACTCTTGACCTTCCTCTTTGTGACAGCCTTTGAGGTACTTATAGAGGGATATCACATCCCCCCTCAGTCTTCTCTTCTCAAGTCTGAGGATGCCCAGTTTTCTCAGTCTCTCCACACAGGGCAGTGTTTCCAAACCCTGGCTCATTTTTGTTGCTGTTCTCTTGACCCTTTTCATTTTTCTGCATCTTTCTTAAATCTTGGTGCCCAGAACTGGACACAGTATTCTAGATGAGGTCTGAATAGGAGAAGTACAGGGGAACTACTACTTTTCATGATTTGGAAGTAATACTTCTATTAGTATATCCTAAAATAGCATTTGCCCTTTTTGCAGTTGCATCACATTGTTGGCTCATATATTCTCCATCTTGTATCGATGCATTAGATTTCTTTTTTCTAGGTGAAGAATCTAGCTGTTTTAAGCATCTGTCTCACTTTGCCTAACATTTTTATCTTTAAAAATGATTAAATTGTAAGTTGTCTTGCTTATTTCAGTAGTCTCAAAATGTAGCTATAGATTATTTACTTTTGATTAATAAAAAGCCAGATGCTGAGTTGCATGGAACATTTTAATTGGTGCATAAACTTAATATGGAATATTTAAAAAATAGTGCCTAGATTTGAAGACTGCAAAATCAGTATTTATCGGTTGGTATGTTTGCTCTGTTTGGTTAAAATGTGTCATACTTCCTATATGAGCAGGCAAAGTTCCAACCTCATCTGTCATGATAACCTTTTCTGTTCTTTAAAAAGGCATATAGTTCCTAGTATTTCTTTTCTACCCAGTTTCTGATTATGCGCTATAATTTGTGATTCCTAGCATCTGGAGCATTTTAGCCTTTCTGTCCTATCTGTCATAGACTGAAGGTAACTTTGAAGGTACCTCCAATATTTCAAATTCATTATTTACAGAGTTGGCATCATTCCAGATTGGATACTGGGTGTGTTGGTTTTGACACTGCTTAATACACACAGGCACCTCTTGGATGCAGTCTTAATGT